TCTCATTTATCCTTGATTCACAATGTTGTTTTTCAGTGAACAATAAATATTAAACCTTAGAGTGAAAATCATCCTGATGTTTCAAATGGTCTGGAATAAAGTACGCCCACCTCTGATGTTTAAGTGCTCAGAGGTTAGTCTTAGGAAGACTGAAGTAAAGGGGTACAAGCATATCGAGAACAGTGAGAATCTGCTATCCTAAAAGTGCTACAGTTGCATGTTGTTACTCTGCTGTCATGTAATTGTTGTTTTTAATCTGCAATTAGTTTTAATCTAATTTGTATTTTAAATTACATTGCGTTTAAGTCGGTGCACTAATGGGTTGTGTGTGCCCATAGTTAACATTTTATTGTCAACAGTAAATGAGAAAGCTTAAGTTATTTTGTTATTGTGTGTTCTTTGAATGCTTTGTGTTTGTCTAGCTCACTCTTTCTTCAGCAGCCTTTATGTTTCAGTGCCAACTACTGGTATGAACATGGAACTTCTTTCTTGACATTGTAACACGTGTGCACAGTCATTTTCACTTGTTCTAGTAAACTGGGTCTTTTGATGCGGCGCAGGTGAAATGAAGCAGCAGTGAAGAACGACTGCTGTTTGGTTGTAGTCAGTGTGAAGACGGTGACAGAGCTTCCAGGCGGTAAAATGCCTGATAAAACGCTGCTGAACATACAACTGTGAATCGTTGTTGTCTGCTGTCAAGATATTAAAGGTCTACCAACATTCTACTTGAAAAGGGGTTTAATGAGCCATAGCATGTGACTATGCCTTTGTGTGCACACATCCTCTTTGTTACTGAAGTGGGTTTACATTTAGATATGATAGTTTTTGCCTGCTCATTAATGTTTTGATTTATTATATGGTATTATCTCCAGCTTTATTGGAATGGTCATGTTGGAAATGCATTTAGCATCCCGTAAATCTTAATACAGACCAGACGTACAGAATCTGAATGAGAATACTGTACGTCTGGTCTGTTTGACCATGGCTCTTGTGAGCCTCCTGTAAATCCAGATAATTTTGAGATATTGCAGAGATGTAGTAGGCCTGTGGAGATTCTCAGTACTATCTAATCACAGGCTCAGATGTGGTTGATGAGATCAAACTTGAAGTGAATGCGTGATGATGGCAACACCCGAAACATCAGGTGATGATGTGGCGCTGTAAGATCAGAGTCCTGTGGGTTCACTTGGTTAGATGGAACAGCAAACGACATTACTGTAAATTTTGAATCCATTTACATAATATTTGTTGTGGATTATGCATTAAATGAATTTGGCTATTGTGCCAGCCATGTCACCTGTACCTCTCTGTGAATTTTGTTCACTTGTGTCCATTTGAGTGTGTCCCCAGTCAACCCTTCCACCACTGACTGATTGATGTAGCTGTAGCCTAATTTTAGTTTATGAGGTGTGGGACCGCTGGGTGTTACCCTAGCTGCCTTTTTAGATGAGGAAGCTGGGAACGGTGTGCCGCACAGGGCTCCTATCTCTTGTAATTATCTCTTTGTCAGTGGTTGGACAAGGGGCTCGGACCTCACTCGTTTCCTTCAGCTTCCCTCAGCTCCTCACATTGCACATTCACACATCCAGGAGCTCAGAGACCCGGTGTGCGTGCTGCCGTGGCCTTATAGAACCTCAGCATGCTGCGCTGCTATTGGACAGGTTCCATCCCGCTGAGGACAATGTTACCTAATGCACACTATTGAGTGGCAAGATCTAGGCTAACATCACATAGGACAGCACAACCCAGTTAGTCCAAATTAGATATGTGATTTGTCCTATCTGAATAAATTTGAATGTGGTTTAGTATTAAAGGAATCTGGACGGGGTGCAGCCTATTTACACCAGCCTTCTCTCTGTGGGATAAGTTATTGGCACCTAGCCTTCCCTCAGTTCTTAATCTCCACGGGACGTGTGCGTATGTTTTCATTCCCCTGACAGGATGTGTTTGTCTGTGTTTACAGTCCCCTGGTAGGACACCACAGATGGTGTAGGGCTGGATTTGATGAAGTTGGCCTGGCTGCTGTGTCTCCTGCGGCGCTGTGCCGCACAGCAGATCACGCTTTTGTGTTGGGACCTAAAATGTGCTGATCTCTACAGCAAGTGAACGGAGGAATTGTAGTTTGTTTTAAAATGTTTCAGATTTTCTGCTGGGTCCACCCTCTGTATCAACAGTAATTGTATCTATTAATGAACCTGCATTTAGGAGTGAGATGAGCTATTATTATCTGCTGTATAATTGTACATACTTTCTGAATCACTGTATTATCATGACAGCCTACACAAATCTTCATCTGCGTTTGTCATGCCGGGGCGTAGACTGTAGACCACCCAGCCTGTAGTTGTCTATAGCCTCTGTTGGTGTTGTCTCTGATTTGTGTTCCCCACATCAAAAGCAGACATCCTCCTGCTGTACTCAACACCCAGTCCCCCAGCCTCTCCAACCAGCCTCCGTCACGCACAGCTGTTTCACTCGTCCGCCGCTGTTCTGTTTTATCTCTACGCTCCTTTCATCTCTCTCTCCCTGCTGTCTCTCACCTCTTCCTACCTCTCATGGGCTTTATCTGGCTCTTACTTTTAGTGCACCTCTTATTTTCTCCTGCCTCGCTTATCTGACTCTTTGCTGATTCATTTTCCCAATGCATTTATGACTTTCTCTCCTCTCTGTCCCTATTCCTTTCTTTTTGTATCGCCCCTCCTTTATCTCCCTCTTTGTCATCTCACCCATCAACATTCGGTTTCCCTGGGAGGAAAATGGGTGGTTTAGTCTGTGTGCTAATAGCAGAAGGCTTACACACTCAGACACACCAATATTCAGGTGCCAATAAAACTTGCAGTGAAGACATTCAAATAAATCACAACTTCAGAGTATTTTTAGAGACTCAGTTATAGCTGTGCCAGTTAAAGTATATGATTTTCTGTATGTGTATTTAGTAGCATGAAGGATTCTTAGCCCTATAGGCTGAAAGGCCTAATCGCATCACAACTCTTAGTATACTCATAATGACATCAAACTGGCTGAGCTCTTAGACTAAACATAGTATGTCATGTTCTCGAGTACACTTCTCCTCTCTCAGGTTCACCTGACACATCTGAGGCTGACGTAGCGCCTATATTTGGGTGGTGTCATCAACAATATTACAGTTTTCTGTCAGGACCCCCTCGCCTTCCTGAGCAGGATATCTCATGTGATGATACACGTGCAGGTGTGTCACATGAATCAAGCCTGGCTTGCTTTTTGCATTTAAAGAGGAGCACTGTGCACATCCAGACTGTTTCAGGCCAAGTGCAAGATAAAAATGGGCTTAGTGGAAAATTTCACCCTCTGATACAGACTGTTGTTCAGCCACACCCATTGGTTATCCTGAGATAAAGATGTGCACCCATGTTCCCTCAGCTTCCCTTGCCTACATATAGAGTATGTCACTACTTGCACTGTATGTGTTACAGCTCTTTGTGTAGTGAGGCTCCTGGTAGAGAATCTGGTATCTGTCTGTGATCGTGAATGTTTCCAGTGTAACAGATGTCTTACTGCTGTACACATCACTTTGACAACATTTTTAGTCGTGATTAAAGCTAAGATAAACATTCAAAAAAATTTAAAAGCTATATTTTTTTGGCAGTTAGTTTCTAGAGTTTGTATTCTGTCCAGCATAAATGGAAAAATCAATCTTAACTCTGTCATGTTGGCTGAAGGCTGAATAAGCTGTGTTCAGAGAGGCTGGGGAGGAGGGATGTGCTGAGATGCAAGATGTTTGTTAAACCCTTCACTGTTGAGCTGCCAGTAGCTGCTTAATCATGCGATGGAGCATGAAAGTAAAAAAAATAAAAATAAATTCTGATTTCATGTCTGCAGTGATTGATTTGTTCCTACTTTAAGAAAGTTCCATTAATGTCTTTGTGCACTCATCTAAGGCCAGCCCAATATGTTGCCACTTAATAGGTCATTACTTTTTTTAAGCTCACCCTACCTAGTGTAAAAGCCCACATCTCTGTGCCAAGAGAGCGCTCGGGGAGATTAATGCTTTAGGATTGGAAGGTTCAGAATAGAAATACCATGAGTTGTATTCAGATGTTCAGAGTATGATAGCTGAAATGTGGCATTTGGCACATTTTGGGGGAAATCCTTGTTTATTGTATTGAATATTGTATTGTGAGGGATTGATGGGGGATGCAGTTGAAATGATCAGCACATGCTGGTCAGACTTGGAGTTTGCAGCTTGTTTCATCAGGTAAACCAGCACAAGCAGTAGCTTCAGAGAATCCTCTGTGTGAGACGAACTGCTGGTTGTCTTATTAGGCCTGACATTTAGAAATCTCATCGAGTACATTGCTTTGTAAAAGAGAAGACTTCAAGGTGTAAGAATGCATGTGAAATCAGTGTGTCTGTATAATGTAAAATAAATTCATAATGTTAAGCCAGTTACATTTTTAAATAGACTTATTTTTGTTTGTTTGTTAAACTACTATGCTTTTTTCTATTGTGCTCTTGTTGAAATGCATCTAATTCCTTACGTACAGCAATAGATATGCTTAAATTTATACATATAGAACTGTATATGATAACACTTTGAAAGACCTAGTAGCTTTTTTACATTATACATGAATAAAAGATGTTGCTACAGATGCAGTTTATAGTTTCTTCTGTTGGGCTCTTTCTTTAGCTGAAGGGGAAAGGAATATCTTATTATTTCTCCCTGGCCTGTTGTTTTCACTTAATCATTAATACGGGGAATTTCACTGAAACCCACAAAGGGCATTTTCAGTTTATTACTCAGTTATCGTGCATTTTTCTCAATAAAACAAGCCCAATTCTCATTATCAAAAGATGTAAAGACTGTCAAATTCCTGTTCTGGAGGCCTACAGCTTGATAACCTCACTCACATGCACATTATATGGCATGTGCACCTGGATGTTACAGATGTCTTTTTACTAATTCATCATTTCTCTGTCTTCTCCCTTTCTTTCTGTTGTCTGTCTTCTTCTCCTTTGCATCTCAGGTTTGAGCAGCCATGACAAAGTCCTACGAGTTCAACTGGCAGAAGCACCTGCCTGGGTTCATGCAGGAAGGCGCTTCCTTTGACAGGTTTGATGAGGTAAAAAAAAAAAAGACACATTTCTCAAGTTTCTATACCAGTTTTGTGAAATAGCATAGCTTATCGAGATATTTTCTGATGCAGTTAAGATTGCTGTTTAATGAAGGCTTAGTCTGCTTTGCAACCTGTGTCAGTTTGTCAGTGACACTGATGATACTTGCATAGGCTGTTTGCTTTACCTATTAACATCTGTCACCTTAATGATCATCCCCGGGCCTCTCATTAGTGCGTGTGCACACACACCAACATATCCACACCCAGAGAGCAGAGGGGTCATGTTTATAAGCAATAAGCTCTGGAGCACAAGGAGTATATAAATCCTGAGATTTCAGTGGAGACCCTGATGCGATTACAGTGCTGTTGTTTAAAATCAGTATCACAAGGTGGAGGTTGACACTGTACAGGGTATCAAATACAGCACATGGTACTTCACACAAGACAAAACACACTCAACATCATTAAGACCAGCAGCTACAAAACTGTGCAAAAAGTCAAACCTCTGGAAGGCTGTTGGAAAAGGACTGACAGATATTTACCAGTAACATGACCAAATATCTTGCCTTATTCTGTGTATACGCATCAACCTGTGTACTTCCTGTCTTTTTGCCAAAGTTTCCTCTGACTAACTTAATCAGGACACTAGGTAGGACATTTGCAGTGCAAGGACAAAGTGTGTCACACACATGTACACACACACACACACACACAGAAATATACATGCACCCTTGAATGCATCAGGAAATCCCCTCAGTCCTCTGTGTTTATATGGGCACCGTTTGGCTGAGGAGGATCCCTCATGGAGAAGAAAACTTGAAAGCATAGAGAAAAGCATCATCAAACTCACAGCTATGTACAAAGTAAACCATGAAACTGGGCCAGCAGTGTGTTGCTGCTGTGAATACTGTATGAGCTGCGCAGGACAGGGTCAGGACTGGCCTGAATCGTAATAAGGTCAACTTGTACCAGTCGCATTAAAAGTTAAGATTAAAATCAAACAAAGAAAAGCTGGAGGTATTCATTAAAGTGGGTTTAAGAGGGTTTGCTCATGTTACTCGGTGTTGTTATAAACTTCAAGTAGTTAATGTCTCTCTTTTCCAAATGTCTTTCATACGCCATGTGTATGAGAGAGACTCTGATTCCTGGCAAATAGTCTGCAGGGAACATCTGTGTCAGTTGAAATAAAGTATGCCACTTCCACCAACAGACATGCTCTTTATCAGTTCCTCTCATATAGGCACTCGTACACAGACACACGCAGGCAAATATAATGACTGAGGCCCCACTGAGTAACAGATGGCCGAGAGGGATTGTGTATGTGTGTCAGTGTATGTGTACTTATGGCTATTGTATACATGGTGACTTCCAGTTTTTAGTTTTATACCATAGGAGTCTCTCAACAGTATATGTAACTATAACTTTCCTGTCCAAAATAAAGCTGTCTGACTTGATTAGAAGAGCCCTTTCATCTCCCATAATACTTTGGTTATAAAATGGTTCCTTTTTTTTCTTATCTTGCTTTCATTTTGTCTTTGTCCATTTAGTCTTGTGTGTTTCACCCATTGACTGTATATACGATGGACATCATGTCACCACTTCTCTCCACTATGCAGAAGTGAAGCCAAAATATCACGAATACAGCAGCTGCCATCTTGCTTTTTGCAACCAGATTATGTGCAATAGTGACCAGAAGTAGAGCAGTGACGTCAAACCGCCGGTCAGAGCTGTCAGATCAACCAAAATAGACACCTTTTTATATCATCAAACAACTTATTAAAACAAACTTGCCAGAAAAATGAGCACTTGTACACAAATCAGTGTGGTTATATCCACCAAAAATGATTATTTATTATTATTATTATTATTTTATCAGACTGTGAGTTTTTATTTTGGCTCATGTCCCATCCACTGACATGGAGGAGGCGGGGTTTATGACCTACAGTATACTGCAACCAGCTACCTGGGGGTGATCGACAGTGGCTTCACTTCCTGGAAATGTCATGGTGTCCATCATACAATATTTACAGTCAGTGGTTTAGCCTGTATCCTTGCTTTTCTTTCCATTCACTGTATAGCTTTACCTCTGTACACTACTGTAGGAGAGGCCTCGTATTTTAATCCATTAGTCTTTTTTTTTTTTTTTGCTTAGAGATATTTCAAATAAGTGTCTCCTCTTTGACAAGTCCTGAGTCAAAGGAGAGTTTGTGTGTGGTTGTGTGGGCAAACTTTAGTTCACAGTCAACATTGTGAATATATTTTGGCCAGTCCTCATAGCATCAAAGTGTTGTTTTTCAGGGTTAAGACTTGGTTTTAGGAATAGAACTCCTAGAAATGGGGGCTTAGTTTTTATTAGATATTGGTTTGGTGATTTAGACTGAGGGTAAGAAGCCAAACAACAGTGAAAACAAAATGTTAACTGCAGCAACAAAAAGTTCATTAAACAGGCAGTGTGAGGGTATTTGTGCTTGTATTATTATTACTTACTAATTGAAATACATAAAAAAGAAGAGTTATGTGTTTTCATCACTCAGCGAGTGGTGGTGTTGATCTACCTTGTTAAATACTTGAGGCCATGTGTACGGATGAGAGCGCACGCGTGTGTGTGCGTACCCACAACTCTATTGCCTGAATTACACCCCCTAGATAGTTATTTATGTGGGAGTAAACAAAGGAGTTTAGTGTGTGTGTGTGTGTGTGTGTGTTTAATCTACTTTACCTGCATGTGTGTAAGCACACAAACACATTTACATGCCCTCTGTTTTTATTTATTTTTAACCAAATTGTCAGGTTTTGTTTTTGCTGTTCCTTTTTCAAAGATCACTGTTGGAGGTGACAAAAAAAGAGGATCAACAGACAACACTCACACCCACACAGAGTGAGCTACACTTGCCCTGACACTTAGAAAGAATGTGCCCATGTTGAGTAGGAACTGGACTGACTACAACCAGGAGTCTTTATCTGTCCGCCTCCACAGAGAGACAGTGGGACCTCAGCTAATGGTCCCTTTGCGAGTGGAAGCACTGTCCATTATTTTCTACTGTAGTGCTACAAGAATATGCCGTCTGATAGCGTAACAGTAGCCTGCTGTATGTTCCTAACAGTCAGGGCTCATTTCATAGAGTGGGCTTTACTGTGTGCAACTGAAGCTTCTGTCAGAGCAAGCTTTTAGCTGCACTTAGAGCAGTCTCATTATTTCCTAAATGGAAATGGAATTCTTCTGTTGGTTATACTGGGGTTTTTAGATGACAGGATAGGGCATTAAGAACAGCCAAATATTTTCAACAGTGTATCTCATGGCAGCAACATCCTTAAAATAATAAATGATGTGTATGTGCGAGTGGGTCACTCTGTTCCCTACTGCTAATATTAGAGTTAGAGTGACCCAACAGCCATCTTTTATTCTATTTTTGCCTCAGGGTTTAACCCGCTTACAATAGATGTCATTTGAACGGGATAAAAAAAACGTACACAAACACACTTTGACACAGTCATTTGTCAGCGCAGTCATAGCTTCTAGCAGCTGATTGAGCTCAGTGTTTGCATAGATAAGCTAGCCAAGAGTCTGTGGTCCAGTACTTCTGAACTGAATAGGGATTGCAGCATGTTGCACATGAGCTCATGCGTATACATTATTGCAGCATGTTGCACATGAGCTCATGTGTATACATGTAGTGTATACAGAGTACATGTGTCCATTAGCATTATAGAAGCTTTTCGATCCCTCTTAAACTCTCATATATTGTACATGTACAGACACACACATACACTCAGCTGCTGGTTTATTAACTACACCCAGCGAAAACCAATGCGATCTATTTCAGATTTCCTGCAATAAATCCTCCCTTCCTGAAGGTGATAATATTCACTTTTGATTGAAACTGTTGTAATATTGATTAAACTGTACAGTCATTTTGGAAAATGCTGTTAAATTGTATTGTTATACTGACAGGTTTGTTGATTATTTTGTCCACCCCATTTATATCAAGGGCAATAGGCTATTTAATGGAAACATCTCTCTGCATAGTGCAGCACAGTTGGACAACAGCACAAACTACAGGATCATAATGAACAAAAATTGAACATTATCACTGTCACTTACTGTATTTAACGCCACACTGTTGGATTAGACTGGGGTAGTTTAACTAGGTATATCTGTTAAACTGCCAACTGAGTGTGAATGCATCTCACCCATGTCTCTCATGCACAGCACTGTTACTGCCAGATGATGTCTGCATTTTATCGATGCTCGTGTTTGTCTGAGCCATACACTAGGTTTCATCCCTTCTGCACATGATGTGTACTCAAGGGGGCCGAATACTTTCGCAAGGCACTGTACATGCGTGTGTGTGTGTGTGTGCCCTTATCCAGGCAGGTGCATCTAAAAAAATGAATCAGTGTTAAATCTGTTTGACTGGGAGTGCGTAAACATTCCATGTGTTAACCAGGTTGGCTGTTTAATGTCTAGTGTTACAGTAAATCATGTCATTGATGGAACCCCTCTGTCTCTGCAGGACCCGTATATGTTTGAGCCCAACTGTCAAATGAGGGTGGATGAGTATGGCTTCTTCATCACCTGGAAGAGTGAGGGAAAGGTACAACCTTTTCACCTCTGTGTATTTTCTGTCTGCCAGGAGGTTATGCAAAGAAAACCAATATCTGTTAAGCACATGAGACATGTGTTTTCAGAAATATTTCTCTGACATAATACCTTCCTTTTTCCAATTTAAAACACTGAAAAAAGCATAGATTAGTGCTAATCGTAACAGTTATCAGAAATCCGTCAAGCCACTCAAACACAGAAAGCTACAATCTAGTATTGTGCTACAACATGTATTTTACTTCAGACAAGCAATCCACTGGAGTGTTTGTTAACTATTAGAACACTATTATTCTTTTTTTAGCCTTTGTGTAACAAGGGAATTTAAATAAAAACCCTTGTTCTTTACAGCAGCGGCCTAGGGGTATACTGTAAGTAGTTATAAGTGGTGTTTCTACCACTCCACTAGTCTAGTACATAAAGCAAACAGCTGAGCAGTGTTTCGTCACAAAATAAATGTGTGGAATAATACATCAATAAAGCAAACGTGTGACCATCAGGGCCCCTAAAATAAAATTGTCACATTGATTTTCTACCTAACAGGCAGCAATTGAGTTTTAATTATTGACATATGGTAATGAAATCAGTTTGCAGAGAAGATAACTAATCTGTCACAGTCAACATTTGCAGTAGCCTGCCTAGGTTTTTTGTCAAATTTGTTTCCTTGGGAATCAGACTCGTAATTGAACTGTAAGCTGTAACAGCAAGTTTTTGTAAAATGCAAAGGAGAAAATGGTGATTAAAAATGCTACAGGCACTGAAAACGTGATGATGAGAAAGATGAGGATGTTAACTCCTATTTGGGTTTTAATGATGTAAATTAGTAACTGTTGCCAGATGTTGAGAGGTTGTAGTTTTGCTGCTGTGTACTGAGTATTACAAGTGTTTGCCAAAACCACAAAAAAATGCACTGTGACCCATGTATCGTTTTTTTAAATTTCCCACCCATCCCTCTGTGTCACCCTCTTCACTTGCTTGCATCACCTCCCTCTTTCTCTCTGTCCTGTGTATCTCTCCTACAGGAGGGTCAGGTGCTCGAGTGCTCCCTCATCAACAGTATTCGTGTCGGTGCCGTCCCAAAGGTGAGACCTCTTTTGTGCCCCAGCAACATTCGCATGCTCTGTTTATCCCAGCCATCAATCAGTCTCTTGCTGCTGCAGTGATGGTCCTGGTACAGTCCCGGAGAACTGCTACATCATTTGTGTTTTAATTAACCAAGCCTTCAATGCTGTACTCTATTGATCAAATGACTGATCTGGGAGTTGAGTTCTCACTGCTGAGCTTCTCTCTCAAATCCCAGATTCACTGCGGCATTTGGAGAACATATAAAATGAAATATTTAACTCACTACAAACCTGACTGGGTTTAGGCACAGGTTTGTATCTGAAATGTTTGTTTTTGTAGCACTGACTTGTGCATTTGACCCAGAGGAATAATGAAAATCTGTGCTTCCAGCCCTATTAGGATGAGAATCACAGGGTTAAGAAGTTCATACTGTGGGATCAAAAGCTCACAGGTATATAACATTCTGTCTCTGCCAGGCCTTTTGTTATCATGTAATGGAAAATGAATCTCGAAATAGCCCGAGTGTATCAACCAGCTGCATTATTCTGAATTTTCAGTACAGCTGGCAACCGATCATTTATTTCGCTGGTATGGAGACAGATACACACACACACACACACACACACACACACACACACACAGACCTGTATGGCTTCTGTTTATATTAAATAGTGATTTGTGCAGTTCAGCCTTGACAATAAAACCATGATCATAGCATAGTAGTTGGCATCATGGAGACCAGATGAATTCACAGGAATACCCATATGGATGTCTGTGTCTTATTAGGATGCAAACCTGCCAAGCCACAAGAAGTCAGAAGTCTGACAGGAGACACTGGTGTGACCACTGCGTAACATGTTTTGTGTGTACTGTTGACATCAGAGGGGTTCTGTTTGCTTCGTCCTCCCTGTGGACGTGTGTGTATGTGCATGTGCAAGGGCACACATGTAGACAGACAGTGCAGGCTGGCAGCACCTCCTCCAAATGCTGTATGCATGTTTTGTAAGTAGCAGACTAAGAACAGCCGATAACAGGGCTTCTCCTCAGAGGCTAACTCAGTTACACAAGTCCTGAGAGCTGGATCAGATAATCCGATGTGTGAAAAGATGAATGGCAGCGGCTGGTGTTTGAAAACAGCAGAACATGTTGGCTCTTGCTGTTAATTCAATCATATAGCAAAAGATACAGTACTATCTTCCATGGTGACGATGGTGACAGCCTGACATTTGACTCAAAAGATGAGAGAGAAATCGTGCTGTTTTTGTACAGAAATGTTTTAATGGATTTTCACTGACTGTGCTGTCGATCATTTTCAGGTAAACTCTCAGAGATTGCCATATGTCTTATAAAACGTAGGCTAGTGTCACAGTCAACATTGCATTTAGTATGGATTGTTATAATTGCATATTGCCTTTAAATGTAAAGCTGTATAAATGCATAAAAAGATGAATAATGTAGTTATAAATATAACTATAAATATAAATATATCTGATATAAATGAGTTTTTATAGAACTTTTGTTGTTGCGAGTTTACAAAACCTTTTCTAGTACAGTAGTGTGTCATTTTTTTTACCTTAAATCTGTCAGAACAGCCAGACCGCCCCTGGCAATATAGCAGCGAGTGAGACACATCTTAGAAGCCCTCATGCAGCATCAGGTGTATGTATACTGTACTTCTATGGTCTTATACATGGATCTTTGACATTATCACAGGAGCATGTGTAGGTCTTGTGCAGAGGCGCCTTTCACATTAAAACCCACTGACATAAAGAGAAATCATGTTTCATTGTCAAAGGATTTGTTTTCTCGGGAAAAATAAACCCTGTCCATCATGTACAGTAAATGGAAACCTACTGTCAGAAGCATGCAGAGCCTTGCATTTATTGATTATATGGCTGAAAAAAAGCTTGGAATAACAACATAGAACCCAGCATCTTGATTTATGTTCCACTGGGTTTTGATTTCCTACAGTAAGACAGACACATTTATATTTTAGAAAATAAACTACTCAGACCTGATGAGGCAGCTTCATGTTACAGGATCTGTTTAACATTCCAATATATGTCAGTTACACTGTGTTACTCAGCACTTGACAACTGTGTTAAGTGGTGTCTGAAGTGTTGCTTTCCAGGACAGATGAACACATCCAGACCTGAATTTAGTGGAACTCTTCAGTGATCTGGTACATCACTGAGTTGAGTTTTGGCAGCTAAGTTTATTTCTTAAATTAGAAATTTTATTTGTCTCTCCATCATAGATGGAGTTTACTATATCCTCTTACCTGGCATGGAGCTTTAAGTCTCTTGAGCACGATACATACTCGATATAAAATCCAGAGGCTTTTCCACAACACTAGTTTAAAAAAAAAAAAAATCTAAGTTTGTCTTATGCTCCTTTCCCATTGTGTGATCTACTAACTCTTAAAGTTCCTCATTCTTCTTCCTTTCTTTCTACTGAACTGCGTTGCTTTTTTTTTTCTCCTTCATTCTCAGGACCCTAAGATCTTGTCATCATTCGAGGCCATCGGAAAGACGGAGGCAGACTTAGAGGGCTGCATCATCTGCATCTGCAGCGGAACAGACCTGGTCAATCTGAACTTCATGTTCATGGTAGCCGACAGCCCAGACACAGCCAGGGTAAATATAAGCTTTCACTGTATTTCCACAGCTCGGTGCTTTGGTTCTGTATTTGAAATGTCACAATGATATGCCCTAATACAGTACATGTGAGTTCCAGTTTGTCCAAACATCACTACAGCGTACATCATCTTTTAAAATCAGTGAGATTTGTTCATCCACACATAGTGTGTAGATTTGGTTTTGTTCATGCCCCAATATACAGTTGTAGTTAACTGCCCCCACATTGACTGAACTAGCATTACATACATACTCTATGTATGGCCTCGACAGAAACAAAGGCACTGTAAATTCCACTTAGCACCTGCAATACACACCTAATTCATTCAACATTTTCACATTGTATATATAAAAGTTTAAAGAACACTCTGATACAGCAAATATTGGATTTGGGGGGGAAGGCAACAGCCAGTCTAATGGTTCATACAGTATGCCAAGTCTTTCATAAGGCAGATCTGGCCTTGGTTTACACGAAATAGACACACTTGGCTCACTGTTCCTCGTCTCTCTGTGACCCTCCAGCATTTGCTGTTATTTTATGATTTATTTATTTATTTTGCGCCTAGTCTCCATGCTTTGTTTTTATTCTCTCTCTCTCGCTCTCTCTCTCTCGCTCTCTCTCTCTCTCTCTGTGTGTTTTTCTACCCCTTTCATCGAGGGAAAGGCTCAGATAAATGTCATCCTCTTTCTCTTAATAAAATTCACCTGGCTTTATTGGTACCACCGTATTCAGACACAGGGTTGCCAAAGCACCGGAGTAACACTAACATTAATTTACAGTGCATTCAGAGCAGCTGAAGAACTTCAGTTATGTGAAAGAAAGATGAACGATTCCAACAGATGACAGCTTTTTTGGCCTCATTCTTCCAAAACACGGGCCAACATTTGCAATAAAGGGAACAGACACAAACCTACTGGCAAGCAATGTAAAGGGACACATTTTCTAGATAATAACAAATACACAACCATTATATCAGTTACATTAATATGTATTATTTTGACTAATAACAGTGGCATTACAGTAAGCCAACAGATTTAAGATGTGAGGGCTGATCTAGATCCAGCAGGTCAGTCTGATTCCCTCATGTTGTGGCAGGCAGAGACAAATTTCCCCCAGCCCAGTTTGTAATTATTCATTTCTCCATCTCATCTCTCCCTTTCTGTTTTGGGCTCAGGCAGATGAATGGAATCAATAATAGCTGGCTGATTTCTTAATACCTTCCAACCTCAATACCTTTTCTGAAGCTCTCAGCTCCAAGTCCATTTGTTCATTTTAAAATAAATCTTTTCATACGAGTCCAAAATATATTCATTTTATAAAAGGTTAAGTAATTTCTGAGAAGAGCTGGGCTCTGTAGCTCTTATAAAACTGTACTCATTTGTTGGGGACTATCTTTAGCTGCAGATTAATGCACATTCTTTTATGCTAGTGAGTGTTTACCACAGCAGGACAGTTTATGTGCGACTGACTCAAAATAAGCTACAGAACCTGTGTTCATCATAACAAAGGAGCATGTCACCCAGTGCAATAGTGTGGCTAACTGATGGTTTTTACTAGTTTTTGGACATATAATCAAGGTGGAGGAATAACTGCGTTAGGATCTGGATACTACTACTTTGTGGGATACATTTATTGTTGGGGTTGATCTTTTTAATGGCCTGTGTCGACAACAACATATAGTGTCAGCTTTATCCTTTAACATTTGGTTTGGGTGACTGTTTAAGATTGCAGACAGCAAAGAAGACGTGTGGAGAATAAAGTCGCTTACTGTATCTTCTATTTAGTGACAATCCAATGTGAGCCAAAAAAACAGAAGAAGCACTTTGAGACTTTAGTGCAAGCGTTTTTTTTTTTTTCTCTCAGCTGGAGGCTTGTTTGCCAGGAAGCTCATAAATGCCATCCAGATATTTTCTGGTACATGAAAATAAAGTGAATTTATGCACAGCAAACGTCCTCTGTTTTTGTCATCACAGTTGTTTGTCTAGGAAGAAGTAGAGAGCCATCCATGCTGTTAAAAATGGTTTCAAACTGTTTCAGTCCAGATTGAAAATGAATGTTTTGTCCCTGCACAGATTTGTGGTTTGGCACCACAGTGTTGGTGCTTATTGCACCTCCTCCTGAGAGGTTGTGTTTTTGTGGTGATGGGTGTTAAAAATGATGTTAGTGTGCTGGAGTGCTCACAGCCACAGGGCTGCAAATGATATTCATGCAAAAAGCCTGAAGGTTGAAGCACAGACACACACAGATTCAGGTACACACTCTCGTCGTGCACAGTTTTAAACACATCTGCTATTTCTGTCCCTCTCCCTCTTTATCACACACAAACATGTTTGTTTCCATTCCTTTACACTGACTTACGATCATTTCCTGGAGACTTACCTTAACCTTTTAACCTGCCCTTAAACCAAGTCCTCTCCCTAAAATTAAACCATCTTAGGGGACCAGCATTTGGTCCACACGGAGTAGTACCAGTTTCTCACACACACCACGACACCGTGAGCACCTCCCAGTATACAGGTGGCTCTAAGTAGCAGACCTCAGGAGATGACAGGGTTGTTTACGTCAGCAGACATATGTTCACAGACGCCACATGCCAAAACAAACTAGCCCTGCTGTCTCCATTATCTTGTTGTTACAATGATGTCAGCAATAATTTGCTGTGGAAGTGGAGGAGAGAGAGCACAAAGAGGCAGAGACAGGAAGCCAGGAGAGTCAGCTTTGCTCCGATCATCATCCTCAGTGGCATTTCTGTCAGCACAGTCAGCAGTGTATCCATGTGAGGTTACAAGGTCTTCTGCAGCTATCAGTTTACTGTTGCTGTGTGTAGACTTGAAACTGCTCTGTGTTTTTCTCTGTGTAAATGTGTGTGTGTGTGTGTGTGTGTGTGTGTGTGTGTGTGTGTGTGTGTGTGTGTGTCTGTCCTGTCAAGGCACTTGACCTTGTGCAAAGTAAGAGGCAATTCATTTACTTGTGTTTATTTCCCCAAAGACACTCACTTCTAAATGTGATACAAAAGTCTGGACACCCTCGTGACTGCCTTGTGTGTGTGTGTGTGTGTGTGTGTGTGTGTGTGTGCGTGCATTGAGAGAGTGTGTCCTGAATACTTGTGCTTGTTTGTTTACAGAAGTGGATCGAGGGTTTGAGGTCAGTGATTCACAACTTTAAGGCCAACAACGTCTGTCCAATGACCTGCCTCAAGAAACAGTGAGTGCATTTTACTGCACACTATTAGTACGTTCTAAGTGGTTTTCTCATATGAACTCCAAACAGTGTCCTGAGAATCTGATCTGAACATTGTCGGGAGTTGCCCTTTACACAACAAGAGAGTGTCCATGTCAGACATGTCCTCACCAACTGGAAATACTCTTTGTGTTATGTGAGGGGTGGAGCCTGGATAAAGGGAAGGCAGGACATGACACAAAAAGACCACCGGCACATAATTTGGTCATAAACAACCATGGCTCTTGCTATTCCTTAAATTGTGGGACGATTTTGTCGTCAACCCTTAACGACAGAAGTTCCCAAATGTTGTCGTCTCTCCAATTAGACATTTCTGTTGCTGGCTTCGTGTAAATGATCTTCTTCACCCCTGGATATTTGTATCCTTCCAGTTTCACGCCTGCTTTGTTCAGACATAGGCTTAATTGGACAGGTGTTGACAGGGTAAAGCCCACGTAATGTCCAGGCCAACTGATTGGGACATTTGCATTCTCACATACAGCTCCTCTGGCTAATGTCCAGATAAGCTCAGGGCTGCAGTACATGTCTGAAAAGGGCTTTAATTAGCTCAGTTCTATGCCTTGAATAGTATGGTTTTCTTAAATGTATAAGTTATAATTATGGTTCTTTCTCTAATCAGTGCTTTTCTCCGTGTTTTCATTTCCTTCTTATTTAGCTGGATGAGAATGTGCTTCCTGACCAATGTGAATGGGAAGATCCCTGTGAGAGGGTACGAGTAAATTGATGAGATATTTGTCAACCGCTGTACCATTTTCCACCAGAATTCATTTTATTCTAGTTATGATTCGGTCATCTTTTTGTCTTTTTTCCTCACCTCTTTTATAGCATTACACGAACATTTGCATCAGGGAAGACAGAGAAGGGGATCTTTCAGGCTCTGAAGGATTTGGGCCTACCTAGTGGAAAGGTCAGACTGTAAATTGTACTGGTCAGATGCATCGGTCCTGTTTGAGATTAAAACTGTAAAATGTGTGTTAAAACTGCTAGTAAATAGCTCTCATTAACGGTTGTGGGCTTGTTTGTCATCCACAGAATGATGAGATTGAACCATCAGATTTCACCTTTGACATTTTCTACGCACTTACACAAAAGATCTGCCCTCGCACAGACATAGAGGAACTCTTCAAGAAAATGTGAGTTTTACCTTTTTAACCTGTCTGCACTCTTCTTTGGAATTTGTACCTAGAAAATAATAATAAAACATAGTAGGATAGTGGATCCTCCAAATAGACAACTCACTGTATTACCCTTGCATTACACTGCACCCATGTTACCCTGTACCTAAATATAAAAATGATATTTCATTATGTGAGCTACTGCATCTTGTTGGAAATAATCAGGACAAATGTTTCTGCGCCTGCTGCACTAACTATGTCTGGACAGCCTAACCTGCTTCCACAGTTTACCATTAATTATATTCAACCAAATGACAACATTTTTTAAGAGTGATGCTCAACATGTTGTTAGTGAAAGTGTAGCAGTTAAGAATGCTCCCCTTTAAGGGCTGCTGTCTAATTTTAACTGACTGTGTGAATCGCTATAAAGGCATCTATTTAAAGGAACATAACATTTTGTTGTTGTTGTTTTTTTTTCTAATTAATTCCTTTGCAGCAATGGGAACAAAACTGATTATTTAACTGTAGACCAGTTAGTCAGCTTTCTGAATGAAGTAAGCTTTTTATCATTCATAAACTTCTCTGTGTATTTGGCTTGTCGGTGCAACTCCCTGCTATACCCCCCTTCCTGTTCTGGGTGGAAGTTGCCCTCCAGGCCAGACTCCACATCGGCCAACCCTCATTAAAACTCCATTAATGAGATGGACAAAAGATTTAACTTCCAGTAAACCTGCAAGGGCAGCTTCAACCAACTCCCCTACTCTGCATGCCCAACCCTCATCCCATTCCCATGTTCTCCCTACTGCAGCTTACCCCTTGTCTGATTGGTGTTGCCATGGCAACGGGAGGGTAAGAGGTTTCCATCCTGTTGTTTTCTGCTTTCTGTGTCTGTGGCCATGCTCTTCTGTGTGGCTGAATACCTACTAAGTCCCTCCACTGTGCAGTCGCGTGTGTGCTGCTTTCATGCCCAGTCCTGCGCATCACGCTCTGGGCTCACCAATGGAGCGACAGCTTTAGTTAGATTAATTCCCACCTGGCTTTCCGAGTGGGCAGTGGCACTTCCAGCATATCTTTTCTTGCTTTTAACCAAATGCATGCACTTGATAGTGTGCTCACAGTTTCTTGAAATTTTGTTTTGTACATCCCGTTTAGATTTAAGTGCTCTCTATTTAAGGCCACAGTAAGCAAGCTGTGAAACACAACAATTCTGATCTAGAACAGCAGGCTTAAGAAAATGAATTTTAGTCCAAATCAGGAAATGCCAGTGAGCACTGCTGGTACTATGCCGTGCTGCATTAAGTTTAAGCTATCCTGTGTGATCAGGTTTATGTTAGGAAATGACTGTTTTTGTAATGGTAAGTGTGGTTGACTGTGTGTGCGCGTGTGTTGTTTCACAGAACCAACGTGACCCAAGGTTAAATGAGATTCTGTTCCCATTCTATGACCCCAAGAGAGCCATGCAGATCATCGAGAAATATGAGAGGGATGAGGAGTTGAAGAAGAAAGGTAAAAAAAAAAAGAGAGGGAAACAGAAGGATATGGGGTTGTGCTGCCATCTGCCTCTGTAACTTTGAAGCTGCAGTATGAAACACCAGATAGTTGGTGTGGTTGCTGAGATAGGTTTTTAAAATGACTTTCAGCCTCTACCTAATGTTTTACTATCATGACACACTGACAAACTGTTAGGCATTGTGATTTCTAAATTAACTGAATAGACCTTTGATGTAATATCTCCTACCTGGAAGCAAGCCGTGTATTTAGCAGCGAATCTATCAAATGTAAACCAGCACGCTGAGAAATTTCTGAGATATTTTAATTTGTTTTTTTTTTTTATTTCCAAATACCGATTATTTTGATCTGGCTCTTTCAGCATTTTGACGCTAAACATTGTCAAGTGTGAAGCAAGACGCTCTTTGTTTTGAGAAGTTGTTACCACCACCACACCCTTCGGCAAATTGTTCTAGCACGAAACTGAGATGCTACCTTGTCCCTTCTTTGCCAGGTCACATGTCCAGCGACGGGTTCTGCCGGTACCTGATGTCAGATGAAAATGCTCCAGTTTTCTTGGACCGACTGGAGCTGTACCAGGACATGGACCAGTCACTAGCCCACTACTTCATCAGCTCATCCCACAACACTTACCTCACAGGCCGACAGTTTGGAGGGAAGTCCTCAGTAGAGATGTACCGCCAGGTCCTGTTGTCTGGATGCAGGTACAGAGGAGTGTCATGGTCTGTTAGGGTGCCAGATACATATACAGTAAATGTTTAATGCACATAAGCCCCACTGCGTTTATGCAAACAGACAAAAGAGTATGTGGATGAGCTACAGTAAAGTTGTTTTCACTTGTACATTAGTTGATGCCTGCATTTAATGTTCATCCTATCAGATGTGTGGAGCTGGACTGCTGGGATGGCAAAGGAGAGGACCAGGAGCCAATAATCACTCATGGTAAAGCCATGTGCACAGACATCCTGTTCAAGGTGAACACACACACACACACACACACATCAGGGCACATGCTGTTTTGTTCACTTGCATCAGTTGTAGGTGTCTTTTCTGGCTGCCTCATTATTTCAGAATGTGTGCCCGCCCTCTTGTGTTGAGAGTATGATATTGCATATACCATGTCTTCCTCCTCAGTGCTTGCATTGCATTGTCCTCATACTTAGAATTTTCCTCTTCTTTCTCATGCCTAATATTTTTTGTCTCTCATCTTGTTTTTCCTCCTCCTCCTCCCACAGGATGTTATCCAAGCAATCAAGGAGACGGCATTTGTCACTTCAGAATACCCTGTGATATTGTCCTTCGAAAACCATTGCAGGTAGACGTGCACTCCGTAACGGGCAAGAGGGGTTATGCATAAAGATTTTGCTTTTGTTATCATTTGTAGTACTGTCTTATAGATAAACACCATGTGGACACAGTTCATTCTGTGTGTGTGTGTGTGTGTGTGTGTGTGTGTCACCAGTAAACCACAGCAGTACAAGATGGCCAAATATTGTGATGAGACCTTTGGTGACCTCCTCCTCAAACAGCCTCTGGAGAACTATCCAGTGAGTACTCTCCTCCTGATCCAGTTTCTTTTATAATAGCTGAATGACAGTGATCCTTATTTAAATGTCATGTTATATTTTCGTTGATAGATTGAACCTGGGCGCCCCTTACCCTCTCCAAATGACCTCAAACGTAAAATCCTCATCAAAAACAAACGCTTGAAACCTGAAGTGGAACAGAGTATGTACACATCTCAGCCATTTTAATTGTTAAATATGTTTATTATGACTTTGTTTGTACTCTCTTGTGGTTTAAAATGAATGTTTCTGTATGACTACAGAGCAGCTAGAGGCCTTTAAGAAGCACATGGAGGCAGGAGAGACCAACACCCCTGCCATCATTATGGGAGAAGAGGACGACACAGAGAATGGTCAGTTAAATGACAGCCTGTTTTTATAATACAGACTTGGTGCATCATGGGCTACACGCCTGGCTGGGTTTCTCACATAACTACATGGGTAGTACAGTATAAAGGAGGGCTTTCAGGCTAACATGTGTGCAACATGACACCATATCAAAGATTAAATGACTAATTTTAATAACTTTTAATTTGATTTCACAAGATCACAACAAACATTCTCAAAAAGCTGCATTATGTACATACTGTAAACTAATACTTTGTCACAGCTTGTTCAAATAAAGAACTGCATCCAATATTGAATGTATTTTTACAGAAAATGTGCACTAACATGAATTTGTGTATCTGAGAATAGGAGACAAAGAGGCTGAGGACAAGGATTTGAATTCAGAAGCCCCCAGTCTGTCAGAGGCGACCAGTCAAAAAGAGGCCAACAGTGTGTCCCAGAGTAACGCTGTCAGCTCGAGGAAGGAGGAAGATTGCAGCAACAATATCAAGAAGGTGAGTTGTCACCTTTGTAATCTATTCAATATTTGACCCTGCCACAGACCAAACATGCCTTAGATCTACAGTAGATAGGTAATGATATTTAGAAATGGCTTTAAAATGGTAAATGTTGTTGAGGTCAAAGGGAAAATGAAAGAGTACAATCTCCGCCTGCAATTATGACCTAAAAAAGAAACAAAAGCAATTGGAAGTTAAACCACTAAATACATTATCATGACAATATATAAAGTATACATTTGTATGTATGATAATGTTATCTTTCAAATAATGATGCAATAGCTAAAAATGATAGAGAACGTTTGATTGGATGTTATGTGTGTGATTTGTCTGCTTCCAGGTACCTGATGATGAAGTGACAGAAATTTCCGAAGCAACAGACGCCACAGATATCTCGGAGGCATCAGACCAAGACAATAACAAGAAGGCAAGCACACATCCTACTTATTCTCTCACTCACACACTCTCAATCACCACTCAGTCAATACCAAACATCGTATACATGTACCTGTCCTGTGCAGGCTGTGGATGTAGCTGAAGACTCTGAAGAAGCTCTGATAGCTCAGTATACCTATGAAGGAGCCACCACTAACATCCACCCGTATCTCTCAGCCATGGTCAACTATGCACAGCCTATCAAGTTCCAGAGCTTTGATGTGGCAGAGGGTGAGCCTTGACTTCTTCCTCATTGATTCTGAAACTTTTTAATTTCCCTCTAATATGATCATGCAAACATATTGTTCAAGAATACAGAATAAATGCAAATATTTGACATACCTATTCAGAATATTCATTCAGCATATTAATTTTATGCACTTACATTCTGTTTTGCTCCAAATAAAAGCCAAATTCATAGAAGTAAAAAATAAAAAGTGCTTTGGTATTTGTACAGATTTGATACAACAAATAAGAACATACACTCAGTTATGTCATGCTAATGCAACTTAATTCACTGCTCTTTATCACTTTCTCTGTCTTCTCTGTCTCAGAGAAGAACATCCACCATAACATGTCGTCTTTTAACGAGTCTGTTGGCCTGGGTTATCTGAAGACAAATGCCATAGAGTTTGTCAAGTATCCTTGGAACTGTTGTGAAATCAGGCAGTTACACTGCATTAATCTGAAAAATGTCATTAGAATTGGTTAAATTGTTATAGTATGTATTTAAATAGCACTTTGAATCATAATGAAGAATCCAAGTTGACTTAAATACTAAAGTTAACAGGAGAAATGTTTTGTTATCATCACTACTACTGAAATTTTCACTATTCTAAACACAGTTATATTTTTGACACTGGAACATACTGTACATATGCATCCATCTGAAGCTGGGTTGTGGTGACAGCAGGTTAAGCAATGTAGTCCAGACATTCTTCTCTGCAGCAGTGTTTTCCAGCTCCTCTTAGTGCATCTCAATGTGGTCTGGCTCTACCCCCAGGGTCTCGTAGCAGTTGTACAGGCCTGGCAAAATCTTCAGTGGAAGGTGTCCAGGAGACATCCTACTCAAATCCTTAAACCACCTCAACTACTTCCCCTCTATGCAGTCGACTCTGAGTGCTCTTTACCTTATCTCAAAGGATGAGACCAGTCATCCTAATCACTCATTTTGGCTGCTGATTAGCTGGATCAGGTGTGTTCCATTAATCAGAAGCTGGAAGATACCAATTCACTTTGTCTTTCCTCACTCCGCCTTCGTCTAAGATGGTATCTTCCAGCTTCTGACTGACTGAACGCGCCTAATCCAGGTAATCAGCAATGGGTTGGGCTGGATAGCTGGAAAACAAGCGGGGCAGTGGCACCCGAGGACCAGAATTGCCCACCCCTGCTCTAGAGACTGGTGTGCCTATGGACCTTGTGACTTGGCCTAACACTCACATATACACATACACTGTTGCTTCCTTCCCTTTTTCTTTCCTCAGGAGGACAGCTTGACCCAAGCTTGACCCAAGCTGTCCACACAAAAAATAGTCCTACAGTCTGGTTGATCCACACACAAGCACTCAACTCCATACACACATGTGCTGGAACACACATGGTCTCCCGCTCTCTTTTTTTTTTGTAATTTTCCTGAGCATCAGTGCAGCTACAACAAGCGTCAGATGAGCCGTATCTACCCCAAAGGGGGCCGGGTGGACTCCAGTAATTACATGCCTCAGATCTTCTGGAATGCAGGCTGCCAGATGGTCTCACTCAACTTCCAGACCCCAGGTACCACAGCACTCAGCACCTCTATGCATTAACATATCAAAATTATGCATTTTTACCATATTTTTGACAATGTATCCTGCATCTCACTGGAACAATCATTCTCACACACAGTATTCTGTCTGTGGAGATGGAACACAAATGGTTCTTCAAGTGGTTTGCTTGTCATTTTACATTAATGAACCTGAGTGCTCCCCTCTCTCTCACACACACACACACACACACACACACACACACACACACACGTGCCACTCATCCACTTCATCTGTTTTTCACTCACTCATCAGCTGTTACTGCCACATACAAACCTCTAGTGTGAATGATGCCTGTAAAACAGCTGCTGCCCTATAGGTAGAACATGGTCTCCCGCTCTCCTGCTGGGAGCGGGCAATGTGCAGAGCTGAAGGGTGGGGAGGGAGGGGGGGCACGCAAGAGGTGGAGCTTCTGTGATGAAGAGTTAAAAGGTTCAAGGGGAGAAAAAGAGAGATGTCAGGAGAAATGTAAAAAGCCTTTTTTTTGCTAAATAATAGCATCACAGAAGCATGCAAATGAACAATAGTTTTAAGGTTGGACGGTGGTGTAAAAAAAATAAGAACCTGATGTGTGTGTGTTTCAGTTCTTAAACACCTATCATTCTCTTTGTATTTTCTGTTTCCCTCAGACCTGGCCATGCAATTGAACCAGGGAAAGTATGAGTACAACGGCTCCTGCGGGTGAGAACAGCTCCTGAGTCCTGTCCTTAGTTCATTTCCATCTGTCCCGTCCCACTATTCTCCTGTTCTCTTCCCCTCTCTGAGGCTCATCAATTAAGCCTCATCTCTGGTTGCCAGCAGCAACTGTAGCTACTGTTTGCCCCTGAGGGCCAATGAGTGCTTTGGAGAAGTGAGCTCCTTTTCACTTGCCTTTGAGGCTCCCTGCAGTCATCCATCTCTACCTCTCTCCATCATTGTCTTCATCCTTCAGATCTAATGCACACCCCCTGAAGGCAGATATTTTGTTGCTAATATTGGAAATCTCATATACAGGGAGATCAGGGCTGTTGCAGACACTCATCATTACCAATACCACTCTGATGGGCCCCTGGTTAACACACACTCCCATACACAAAGCCTGAGTACCTTCTTATTCCTGACATTTCATTTAAGACCTAAATGTCCACAGAAAGATTATTTTATATATCATTAGTGTCTCTCTGCTTGATCTTAAAGGTAGATTGATTTTGTTGTGTGTGCATTAGGTACTTGCTGAAGCCTGACTTCATGCGACGGTCAGACAGGATGTTTGACCCTTTCTCAGAGACACCGGTGGACGGTGTCATCGCTGCAACCTGCAGCGTACAGGTCAGGTCATCACTGTCACCAAGGAAAACTGTGAAATCCTGCAAATAAAAAGAATTACAACATTTTAGCACAAAACTACAGTAAATATTGCTCCTATGAATTCTGAATATTCATCACACTGGTTGTCCTCCTTTTCACTTTAGGTGTTCTCTGGACAGTTCTTATCAGATAAAAAAATTGGCACATACGTTGAGGTCGACATGTACGGGCTGCCAACAGACACCATCAGAAAGGAGTTTCGCACACGTATGGTGATGAACAATGGACTGAACCCCGCCTACAATGAGGAGCCCTTTGTCTTCAGAAAGGTAGCGAGAAGGGTGGGGGGCATTGCTGGTGGAGGTGAGGGAGCAGCCAGGGTTAGATAATAGACACAGTGAGATCAAACATACTGTATTCTGCATGCATTTGAATGTTATCTGCACTGTGATAAAACTGTAATATTTGAACAACTAAAGAGGAGGAGAAGAAAAGGGATGACACACAGCCATGAAGCCACAAGTTAGAATAAAGGTCCCTGGCAGTGGAGGCTACTCATTTTGTCCTTAGAGCAGGGGAAGAGAAAAGGAAGGAAGACAGAAGGAGGCTGTGTTCTGGTTCACAGAAAGGAGGACCTAAGGGGCAAAAACAAAGGACAGCACTAAGAAGCAAACTATTAGAGATGGAAGAATGAAAGAGAAGGAGAGAGACAGCGAGCCAAAGAGAGGGAGAGAAACATGCTGCTCTCAGCAGAACGAGGAGTCTCTCAGCCATGACTGTGACTCCAGCTTCCTAACACACACCATCAATCACAGCCTGCCGCAGTGCTGCTCTGCTCACACACAAACTTGGTGCTATCAAAGAGGGGCATCCTAAGCAGAGATGCTGGCAAGACTTGTTTTTCAAATTTATATACAAGCAGGCACAGAGACCCTGAAAGACCGCACACCTTTTGGCATGCATACACAGAGCCATCAAGATGACTCGGAGTGAACAGTACAGAGCGGCAGCACTCACACACAGTACAGCAACACACAACCGGGTGCCTCTACCCATTCATCTCTACTGAGTGTTCTTCAGCCTTATCACTTACCTTTCCTTTAGTCTAGATATAAATCATCCTCCTCTCTGTTCACTTATCTCCACACACAAGGCCAGAGAAGACTCTCACTCCCTCTCCCATTTACACAAAACGCTCATCCACAGACAAGTTACATATACACACACAAATATATACAAGATATACTCTCGTCCCTGAATGTGTCCCAGCCATCGAGATGGCCTTTTCAGTAGTATTCTGATATGCTGTGTGTTGTTCGCTATCATGCCTTTACCCTGTATCACACTGTGATAGTGTCCCTGCAGTTTTCTTCTTGACCTTCCCCCTTAATATTTCTGCTTTAACTTAAATAGAGACCATTTTACTGCAATGGCTTCAAAACTGTTTGTCGTTTACACATTTTCACACTAGAGTGGGTTAAGTAGACTTCCAACAGTTCCACAGGGCTGATGGCTGACTCCTAACTGTGACTTATTTTGTCCTCCCCTGTTTTCAAATAATCTTTTTTTTTTTGTTTTTTTTTGCCCCCCCTGTTTTTAAAAAATTTTTTTTTTTTTTTTTTTTAAATTGTGGTTACTTCTTCCTCACACCCTCCTATTGCCATCATCCCTCCCTCCTAGGTGATCTTACCAGATCTGGCTGTACTGCGCATCGCCGTCTACGACGACAACAACAAGCTGATTGGCCAGCGCATCCTGCCTCTGGATGGCCTGCAGGCTGGCTACCGTCACATCTCTCTGAGGAACGAGGGCAACAAGCCCCTGTCGTTGCCAACCATCTTCTGCCAAATCATCCTGAAGACCTACGTGCCCGACGGTTTCGGAGGTGAGGGGAACCGGAACACACACTTTAATTACAAAACTTTATCAATATTACTTGTTCTTCAATGCATAAGTGTGGAATTACAGGATAGTTTCATGATGGCATTTGTTTTGCTGCCTCATTTTATTTATGGATGGCAATCAAGTGGCTGCTGTAGCCTGTAGGGAGAGGACAGAAAAAAGCAAAGCAATGCGCCGCTCTTTCCTGCTCACTTACTCTATGCCTGAGGTTAGTTTGAACATTCAGAGTAATGGCATGGCGTGAATGATGATGACAGTGACTCTGCTGTAATAGTCAGTTTAAAATAGGCAGAAGCATATAAATGAGCAAGACAACTGGAGTTGTCATTAAATAAAGCCAAGGGGCTTGCATTGAGGAATCCTTACTGTAACCATTAGCTTTCTTTAAAATCTGCTACCAGAATCACTTCCCTACCAGACACAGCATTCTACACTAAGAGCCCAGAATAAAATCCTCTCTGTAGCCATGGGATGTTAATCAAACTCTGAAGACCTTTTCCAATCTCAGCCAGTATGTGTTTTGAAAATGCACACAGGCCATTATTTTACCTTGGAAGAAGAGTACAGATCCCTGTGAGCTGGAATCATCTATGTTGTTTACTGCCTTTTCTGTTGTAAAATAAGGAAAAGTTTGCTGCTATGGTCAAATAAAGTAAATGAAGTTCTCACTACTTCAGAGGTAGCTGTTCAATGTTAAACCTCTGACTTAATTTCTCATTCTCCTACTTTTGACAAAGTAAAATTACTGAGGTCATGGGGGTTATTTACTTATTATACTATTAGATGATCATAGTCCATCATTAAAAAAAATGCTTAAAGCAGGACAAACCAAGATGTCTGATGTGATACCAAGTTTGTGCTGCATGACTCATTTTAGCGCAGTCTCAAGTAGCTACCCTCATATTCAGCCCAACAAGGTTATCAGTGATTTGTCTTAATCTTTCTGTGTGCTTCAGCTATTGTGGATGCTCTGTCAGATCCAAAGAAGTTCTTGACCATAGCAGAGAAGAGAGCTGACCAGATGAAGGCACTGGGGATCGATACGGTACACATAGTAACAAACAACACACACACCTGAAGCCCTCAGGCTGCGTGAGTAGAAATGCTGAGCTCTGGATTGAAGACAACACTAGACTCCTGGGATGCTGCAATTACGTATAAGAAAACACTGTACTCAGATGTAACTGCGTTCATACAATAAGAACCTCACTTTCTTCTTAAATCCATCCTCTATTGTAGAATGACATAGCAGATGTTCCCAGTGGAAGCTCAAAGAACGACAAGAAGGGAAAGGGTAAAGGAGACACACTGAAGGCCAGTGTGACACCACAGACCAGCTCAGACATGGCCCAGACCTCCAACGCTGCCCAAAATAACACAGCAGAAACCAAGAAGGGTATATATTCTGAATTAGAAACAAACATATATGCGCACCATGTAAACAGAGTTAAAATGTTTTCTGCTGTTTCAGATCCTGCACTTGTGCCTAATGTCAGCATTGAAGAATTAAAACAAATGAAGGTTTGTATCCCAGCTCCTGACTCTTAACTCAGTAACGGAGCTCCTGCAGTTTATTCTGGAGAGATGTATTCAATGTAAAGGAATAAGAAAAAATCTAAAAAAAATAATAATAGGTTTTTGCTTAAGTCAGTACCAAGAAGGCTTACTGTTGTTGCATACTGAAAGGCGCCAAGTACTTTGATATCTAATGACAGAACTGCTGTAATTATGCTTTTGCATACATTTTTATCTCACAGAAGTGACTACTGTACTAAATACATGCTGTCAGAAAATACCTACTACCAAATGTGACCTGTACAATATAAACAAAGGATGCTTCGCTCTCACTGCAGACTTACCTGAAATTGATTAAAAAGCAACAGAAGGAGCTCAGCACTTTAAAGAAGAAACATTCAAAGGTGGGTGATTGATTTAGCACGGAACTATATGATGATGCTAACAGGGTGTTGCTTGTTCTGGACGGTCATTGATGCTCAGAAGGACAAAAACAGAGACGAGGCGGTTCCACCTTTCATCTTCCACTGTGCACACAACAAACACTCAAACTGTCCGTTACAAACACACACAGATGTGGCCACATAATTAATGTTTTGGAAGAAATTAGACTTGTAAAGTTCCCTTTCCTTTGACTAGAGCTCACCATAGAGACCATGGTGGGTGCTTCTGCATTTTTAGTGGCACATTAATTAACGTATAAGCTAAACTGCGCTTCCACGGTATAAATAAATAATTGCATGATACAGGTTTCCTTTTCTCAAAAGGATCAACATATAATGCAGAAAGCCCACTGCACCCAGGTGGACAAGATGGTGTCTGTGCATGAAAAAGAGAAAACCGCTCTGGAGAAACTACTAGAGAAAGCCATCAAGAAACGGGGGTAAGTGCAACATACTAGCACGACCGCATAGCATCAGCCAGGTTTGTTATATGTGCTCAAGCCAAAAAGCGTGTGCTGTGTTAAAAGTAGAAAATTATGGCAACACCTCTCTTTGATAAATAATTCATTTTTGACCAGTGTCAGATGAAAAATTATAATTCCAAGGACAGCTTTGGGGAAACTGAGGGACACTTAGTTTGTGATCAGTATCAACCATTGACTTCCTTTAATTGGAATGGACTTTGTTCTTGATTGTCACTTACTGTATCTGCATATGATCTCCTCCCAGGGAAAACAGGTGCCAGGAGTTGAGGAAGGAGACAGAAGACAAGATCCAAACACTAGTTGCTGAGCACAAAGCCAGGGTAATGCTGGAAAGGCTTCTTACCCAAAACCCAACATCCTTGCTGCAAAGTAGTACAAGTGCCTAAGCTGCGGCAAACTGACTGTCCGTGTGATGTGTGTGCACACAGATAAAGGACATCACAGCACAGCACACTAAAGAGTGGTCGGAGCTGATCAGTAATCACAGCAGCGAGGAGCAAGAAATGAAGGACAACCATGTCACACAGCAGTGTGAGCACCTCAAGAAACTCCTGGCCTCTGTCCATGAGCAGCAGACCATGCAGCTCAAAGTCATCCATGAACGGTGAGAGGCTCACACACAACTGAACTGACTCAAGTGAAGCCCCAGTCACCTAGCTGTCACTTGCACTATTATTGTTCTGTTACATGCTGGTTGTCATCAAGTTTCCTTCCTTGTGGCTTTTTGTTCTCTAATTTTAGGCAAAGTAAAGATATGCGTGCAAACCAGGCCAAGGTGTCCATGGAAAACAGTAAAGCCATCAGCCAGGACAAGACCATCAAAAACAAGGCGGAGAGAGAGAGGTGGGCCACAAGTAATCATTTTCTTGGAAGTTTACTGTTGAATTGTGACGTAATGATTGTTGTACAGCACTTGTAACACTGTGGTTCTGCTCTGTAGGAGAGTGCGAGAGTTAAACAGCAGCAACACCAAGAAGTTCCTGGATGAGAGGAAGCGGGTAAGTTATTCACTGCTTTAATTATTTGACTGGAAAAATATACTAGGAAGTCAACCTTTTCAGCCCTTGTATGGGTTAATGCGTTACTGGCATACAAGTGCTCCATTAGTTTAATTTTACAGTATAAATACAATGAAACATTCCCACTTCCTAAAGAAAAATGTCTGGTCTAGAAGAATCTAGTCAACCCTGATCCAACGATCACTTTCAGTGAGCGTTGACTGCTAATCTCAGAGTGAAATGATGCGATCTATTTATTGTATTAAACAGTAGCTGAACAGTCATATTGTTATCACTTGCAGCTGGCCATGAAGCATCAGAAGGAGATGGAGCAGCTTGCGAAAAACCAGAGAGAACAGCTGGACAAACTGGAAAAGTTCAATGAGCAGGTACAGTACTAAATGAGCGAGTGAACCTCACAGTCAGAATTTCCCTGCCTCTCCTAGATTTTACAAGATGATGACTAGAGATAACTGGCCTTCCATCAACATCCATGGCATTAGTAGACGCCTCCTGGACAAACCAGAACACCTCTCAGTTTATAGACCTTGTTGCTCCAGTGCCTTTGTAAGTGTAAATGACTCTTGTGGCTGGGGACTAGTGCAGCTCATTGCTAATTCCTTCCATAGATAATGACTGCAGTTTGTATCATTTGTGATTTAAACTGTAATTAGTTTTGCAGGAAGTCTTCCACTTAGCTGTCTTCAGAATTGCCTTAAGGGGACTCCAAAGAAAAACAGCAGTGCTGGTCCCAGAGAATATAGACTCTGTCTCAGTGCTCGTGTGACTGCACTTTTCTTTTTACAGCAGCATTGTTTTATGTTGTTTTTGTAGTGTGTCCTCAGTACAGTACTTATACCAGCTCTCCCTACCCTGTGCTTTTAAAAGTGCCCACTACACATACTAGAAACTCCATAAAAGTATATGAAGGTCTCATGTCTCTACTTTTGCATCTCATTTTGCCATCTATCACACCCCGTTAGCTGTACCTGTCTTACATGTATGCACTTATTCATGGTTTTAATATGATTTGCTTCTTCCGGCACAGCTTTTGAAATCACACCATGCAAACAAACAGGGTCAAGGTAGGAATCTCCATCTCACTCAGCTCTGCCTCTGATACCACCTCTATCACTTTCCTGTCACTGCATCACTTTAGAGATTAGGTTTCCTTCCACGCCTTTACCTTCTACTTCTGTCATGTTACCATTTTGTTGCCTCAGTTTTCAGCCTTTTAAATGACTACTATAATGAGCATTCTTGAAGTGTGTCACCACTATTAAAACAGGGAAGAAGTACACCACTATGTGTATGTCTGTAAAGAAGACTGCAACATTTAAAAGTAATGATTCATTTTCCTTGCTTCTTCTTCCTTTGCAATGTGATATTCCCACAGTTTTAGTCTGCAGCTTGAGTCATTTATCACCATGACTCACTGGTTTTCACTAAGCAAAAACTGCCAGTGCACAGCCTGCCCCACTGTGCTTTCTTTCCAGTTCACAATCATTTGCTTTGATAGTATGTGACAGTGTCTCATTGCAGACATCTTGTGGTAACCATCACATGTCACTCTTACTTAGCATGTGGGTTTATAGCACCTGTAGAAGTATTGGTGGCTAGGCACCCAACAGAAAGGATTATTGCTGAGGTACAAATAGACTTGTCTCTTACTGTTGAACAGTATTTAGAACTCAAAACTGAAGCTCAGATTCGCACATGGTTGATAAAAGGTGGAACGTGTGCAGTGTTACAGGTGAGCGTTCAGTGTGAGGTGTGCTTTGGGTTTGTACAACTATGTTTTCTGTCTCCTTGAAGGCCAAAAACATGCAGCAGATGGCGAAGCTAGAGGAGGAGATGGACCGCAGACCTGCCACGGTGGTGTGAGCAGCTGAGACAAAGACACAGATGTATACTCTCTCACACACTCACACACACACACAGGTGCAGAAACACTCCACCATGGAAAGCCCTTGGCAACCCAGAGACGAAAACCCTGCCTACATCACTCTGTCATGTTCACACACAGTAGCCCTCCTCACCACTCATTTTCTGTGCATTCACCAGTACCTCTGTCCTCTGCACACTTACTCCACCCACTAACTTTACACCACTGAGCCATTAGTGCTTATCACTGTTTGACGGGGGGTTTAACCACCCGGAAAGAAACAATTCCAACACATCCTCTCGTCCACTGTATGTAGATTTAAGTGTTCTAACACATTCACTGTTCTCTGCATCCTGTGGACAGTCCAGCCGCAGCTATTGGTGGAGACAACACACTGACAAACATGTTCAGTCACAGCTCAGACAACACAGAAAGCCATGCGCTTTGACTTTTTTTAGCTCAGTACCCAATTAACCACCCTAGAAACTGTGGAAAAGGAGAGAAGAACACGTACAAGATTTGTCATTTCAGCACAAATGAATAAACTTTGTGAAACACACTGTACGCTACACACCAGTCCTGTCCTGACCACTTTGTATGTGATAGGTCATCATAACAATGTGGAAAATGTAGCACTGCACTACTGTAGGTTTTCTGTATTTCAGTAAGAATGTATTTCATGGGGGGGGGGGAATAACCACTGTATGGTGGAGTGGCAATAAAGGAATCACAGTGGCTAGATGTTCACTTTGATTATTATGGCCAATGTCACAGTCAAATTTTGTTTTAATTGCTAAGCCCTTCACAAGAGGTGGTGTTGCGTTCAAAAATGACACTTTCATAGCTCTTAAAATCACTTGTGCTCAATTTCAACAAATTTACAACTGCCAAAGTAAAGTACAATGTACTGTTCTAATTTGGAGCTAACAGTCATGTATACTGTAGTATGCAAAGATGGACAATCATGATTCCCTGTGTTTCAGGAGTAGCCCACAAAACCTTCAGAATTTTACAGTGGCAGTAAGCTTAAAACATAATTACAACAACAATAATCCAAATCTGGTTGGTTTTCTACATTTAATGAATTTAAATAATACTATAAAGCCAAAGAGGCAGTGCCATTTAGTAGTTACATCATCTAACTGGAACTGTACAAGACTGAGTACAATAGTTAAACAGTTAAAATGAAATGAAAATGGAGCCAGAGCTGTAATCCACTGGTATTAAAACAAATCCATACTTGGCAGCACATTCTGCTATAATACAATGATACAAATGACTGGCCCTCTGCCATCAGGCAGACAGAGAAGTCAGAACCACTACTCATTACGACACTGAGGTGAAGTGCTCCCTTAACAGCACCTTAGCGACCTCAGTTTGTAATCCTCTCGTTTCCCTTCTTGGCTTTGGTCAGGAGACGGATCAGACAAAATAGCAGATTGTGTAACAAAGCCTGCGACATGGCTGCTACACACCATCCATATCAGGGATTTCAGACAAGCACTGATGGCAGAAGAGTTAAAGAATCCTTAGTGAAATCAGCCCTGGAGAGACTGCTGGACAAAAAGCCACTACAATGAGGGGAATGAGACAAAGTTTGACCATCATGACAAATGTCATTAAGACTATATGAAAACACAAAAACATGGGGATAAAAGCACCTCTAAGTATTTTTGGCCTTTTTACAGTTTTGTCTTTTATTCTGCTGTACGTCATGTAAAGAATAGACTGGATGTTCTTGTATATACTGGAATCTATGTAGTTTAATTTACTTTTGGAATAATTGTGTTCTGTCATACAAGGGCTCGGGGATCGCGTAGGTCTGGTGGAAGTTGGAGAAAGACATTTATCATTTTTCTGCTTTCCAGTCTGCCCTTAATGCACCACACATCACAGTATAAAGCTCTCACCACATATCTAGTGCAGAGATAAATGAGTAAAAAGTGCTTTTTAATATTATTCCATTGCTTTCAAATGTGCCACTTCGTGTCTGTTAGGACATTAAAATTATTTTAATGATAAAATGCCAAATTAAGGGGTTATTTATATATAAACAAATGAATATATATTATATAATATGTAGTTTAAGATTACTGTTAGAGGCTTTTTTGCACTAGTTGAATGTTTCTGTTGTGTGACTACATGTAACTTTTGGCTCTAGTTTGTCCAAAAAAAAAAAGATTATTTTTGCAGAGCAATGTCAGATTTCAGTTCCTACGTTTCTACTGTATCTCCTCTGTTTTATATTTGGACTGTAGCTTCTCAACAAACCATTCTTTTTTTATTTATACTGTACTGTTGAACTTATAACAATGAATACTGTTGTTATCCAGCTCCTTTAATACTATTTTATAGTATGTGTTCCAGTAAATCCTGGTGTAAAATGGGACATGTGTCATCTGTGTTCTCTTGCAACTGTGGGTAATGATGTTATTTGTACAAACATAGTGGTATTTTAGTGTGGCAGAAACATTTGAGTAAAGTTGTAGGGTTTGTACATTTTAACACCACAACAAATTAAGAAAACCCATCCTCTCTCATTAAAACGTTATTCTGATGCCAGCAATTGGGATTGTCTGTCCCCTCAGTCTGCTCCTTCTGAGATCTGATAATTATATTTTGGGTTCACACTCTGGGAAGGTCAGATTGTCAACAACTAGGATGCGCAGTGCGCGCACACGGACTTATTTTCCAAACAAAATTACATTAACAGCTCCGGGATGAATTCATATCCCAGGTCCACTCTTGAACACAGGCGGCTTCAGAGCTGAAGCTCTTCATTGTCATGAAAGCAGTTTCCTTTAGAAAGACGAACAAAGCGTGGTAATTGTCTGCGTTGCCCGGCAACTCCGTGGCTTCTCTCTTCCCTATATAATAGGGATGATGGGTTTGTTTTGTCAGCACTCCACTGGTGCAGAGGTTTCCAAACCTGTTCCAACTTATAGAAACATGCCCTAAGTCCTGACCCACTTCAGAATCATGCGTAAGGCTCCCGGGAAGTCTTAACAGGCAAACGAGCACCAAGATCCTCTTGGAGGCAATGTCCAAGGATAAAGTCCACCTGGCGAGGTTTGTTCTAGACGCCCTGGATGGGGAAATAGTGGACTCCACCACAGAGGACGCACAGACCCCTCTCATCTCCTCTGTCCTTCTGCCTGACGGCCAGACTCGGGGCAAGTTTCTAGAGCTTCTGCTGCAAAAACAGGCTACTGTCAACTCTCAAGACGGCAACGGGCGCACCACGCTCAGCCAAGCCTGTGAGAAAGGCTACCTGGATGCTGTGAGGATCCTGGTCCGAAACGATGCAGACCCGGAGATTATGGACTCCTGGGGAAACACTGCCTTAATGTACGCTGCAGTAGCAGGTCACTCCTCTATTGTTGAGTTTATGGTGAGAGCTTTCAAGAGGCTGGGTCTTCAGATTGACCGGCAGAATAAAGTTGGCAACTCAGCTGTTGAAGTGGCAAAGTTTCTCGGCCACACAGCGTGCATCCGCGCGCTCACCAGCAATACCAAGAAGCTTGAGTCTGATGGGGGTGCTCTTGAAGATGCGCAGCCGCTACTGAATTTGGGCTATGTGGATGTAAATGACAAGTTTCAGAGAAAAGCTGGACATTTAGTAACCAAACGTGAGGTCCTCCATGCATGTAACCATGCAGACTACCAACCGGTTCAAACCTGCACGTGGAAAACAAGGCCTCGGTTAAAGCAGAGTCTGTTACCATGGATGGACTCTATGGAGGAGTGTGAAAGAGAGAACAACGGCTCCTCCGTGCCTTCACAGGAGCTGGTCTTTTCAGGAGTCCTAACCTCTACGCCACCTCCGCGGACTTCTGACAATTCTCCCAAACATCCTAAAGCTGTGGAGAGACTGACGACATGTGACGATCACCTCCCGCCTCTTGCACGGGGCTGTGAGGCTCAAAGGTCTAATTTCTTCTCCCCCTGGTCCAACAAAAACACGCCCAAACCCACCGCGTCCTCTGCTCTGGGCTTATTACTGACTCCTATTCTTGCCTACAAAGGGGAGAATGACTCTGGAACAGAAAAATAAAAAATGTTCGACTTCTGTGTGCGCAGACTTCATGACAGCTAATATCAGAAAAGATGTAGTCATCCAATCAGTATCCTTAGCCCCACACCTCCTGACCGCACCATGGAACCTTTGCATAAATCCAGAACTGTGAGAAGACGCGAAGTGTCTCCATTCAAGGCTGCAACTCTTCCGTTTAGTGCATCAACTGCAGCCACTTCCACCACGACTTTCTCATTGTTAGGAAACAAACTCTTACGCCGATTTACTTCCCCGGAGTTTAAAAAGGACGTAAAAGAGCTGGAGGAGGATTCGATGTTGACTTCAGGGAGGCTTCCGCGATCAGAAACGTTTCCTCGGGGCATATACCACCCCCAGGTTGGCGGTAAACCCAGGATCGACAGCGTCAGCTCCGTAAAGTGCGAGTTTGACTTTCATAATTCGCCAAACTCTTAAAAACTACAGTGCGCCGTGCGTAAAATACCACATAGTTAAAACAACAAAGTTACCTGGTTCCATCAGAGCGATAATCTGACACTCGATTAGAGCACAATTTTTTCCAATTTTACACTTAATGTCTGTCTTATGATCCTAACTGACATTCAAACCTCATTGCCTTGCATACAAGTGACCAGAGCATCCAGGCAGCTTCAGCGTCTCATGTTCTCCTATGTGTTTAATATACAGCGGTGGTGAAAATACACCCGCCCTGTAAGAGTTTCTGCCATTTTACAGAACATCCAGACGCCATGAACCAAAGGATAGCAGGAGTAAAAACGAACCTGAAATATTGCAACTTTGACGGAATAACAGAGAAACAGCAATTCGTACAAAAAAGGACTTTGCGCAAATGCCAGCACCTGCCAGTTGGATAGTGCTTCAGAGTGAGGCGCAATGTAGCTGTAACTTCTCTTTTCAGAGAGTGGGGTCCCTCCTGTGTTCAGCAGCATTCCTTTTGCAGTGGGTGGGGTTTCCCTGAAGGTGATGTGAAATAAATTCTTAACATAGTCATATCGTTTACTTGTGTTGCAACATTTTTGCCTGCATCTTTCAGCGCGCCAGTCTAGATTTCTGTTACTGTAGGTGGGCTGCCATCTTCAATTACTCATTCAATGGCAAATGAGCACGCTGTCCTGAGTTTGATGAGTGTGCGTGTATGTGCAAGTGGCCATCACTGTACAGTTACGGCACATTTAAACGGGTCTGAATGTTCTGTACAACAGGTTTGTTGTCTAGAGAGCTGCTGCGACCGCGCGCACAGAAGTGAATCAAAATCCAATGAAAGACGGCAATGCGCACTGAGTTTAAGGTGATTTTAATGAGTAATCTACGGTATGTCTCGTTAAATACTCCCAAAATAAGTTTCGTAAAGCAAAAAACAAATGACGTGCCAGGTTCATTTATGTCATAATCTCTCAAACGTTTTTAAAGATCTCGAGATAGCAATAAGATTTCTCCGCTTTTCAAAACAAAGATTTATTCGAGGAGGCAAATGCTATACAAGCTCTCTCAATCAAATACAACTGTTAAGAGGATTTTTAAGTCTGTGGGGTTTCGTAGTTCTCCTCCTCACACACTCTCAGCTGCAACCTCGCAGAAGTGAAGTTTGACAGCGAGGGAGGGGGTGTTGCCGGCGTTTCCCTCCAGACATACATCACTTCAGCCCAACCTACAGCTGCTACCACCAGAGATGGAGATTACAGCATTGCGGGAGTAACAGTCTGCATGCCGACTTGTTCCTTGCAGGAGACAAATTCAGTTAACGAACTTTTTCTTTCAAGGAGGACCATTATTCCTGACGTTAATAATGTGTAGAAGGATCTCGGTTCTGCTGCTGTCTCTGATTTAAAAGCTATCAACCTTGGAGAGCGAGGTCTGTTTGGATAGCCAGAACACCTCGGGTCCAGGCTATTTCAGCAAGACAAACATCCAGTCTGGAGTCATTTTCTACTGCATTCAGAATGATCTGAGCAAGACTTCTGGACGCTGACTACATTCCTCATCTCTCTCTCTCTCCTTTCCTTCTCTCTCACCTCCCCTGTCCGTCTCGTCTTTTCGCGGGGGTAGCACAGGCTGCCCAGTGAGTTAGCCCCCTTTTCAGCGTCGGGTAAGCTGGCAGAGATGGGACGCCTCGGGTTCAGCACCACGGAGAGCGCCAGACCTCTGATCCTCGGTGTGCTTGGTAAGTGTGCGTGCGCGCGTGCGCGCAGTTGTCGTGACTCCTCACTGCAGTATGTGTATGTGTGAGTACGACTGCGTGCCTGAGTGCATGCGTGTGCACCTACTGCGTGTTTTAGGCATGCATGTGTACATGTTCTTTTATTTCAATGAGTTGTCATATTTCTACTTATTTCATTCTCGCGTTAATATAAATCTGGTCCAGACGAGACTAGATTTGCAGAGTTCACTTTCTGACACCGTTTAGATTGCAGCCAGTGGTTGCTGTTGCCCCCCTGATATTGCAGATTTTAGTCTCTATCCGTGATTTTGACTTTGCCGTGAGGAAACAGAGGTGGCATGTCACTCATCTGAAGATGAGAGAGACCTTCAGCTAAACTCACAGGAACCCATTACACACCTATGCTTTTGCTGATTCTGCATGTTGTAGTGTGC